CAACCACTCTCCCAGGTACGGGTTGCTACAATATTGCAACATTGGTTTCATTGTCGACTGCGCTAAAGCCGAACGAGTGCAACACTTGCGGCTCTCCTTATACGATTTGCCTGAATCGTTTCTAAGGAAGCACAACCCAAACGGCCGGCCATTTTTAGGGCCACAACATATTTCAAAAAGAGAACTACCGTTTCTGCTTTAATATATATTTTTATAGACTTGCTGACTGTTATGATTCAGAACGCGCTGCCCTGAAGGCAGAAAGCTGTCACAGCTATTTTGCGTTCACCCCTTGTTTTACGCAATTAACAATTTTTGGCTCATCCGGCCTTAAGGCCTGATGAGCCTATGCGATGGCGAGGCGTCTGTCGTCCAAAAATTACAAAATTCATGAATAAGGATGCCATTCACTGATTCTAGGTTAGCTATTTGTGATATATCTGTATGTTTTTAAGAGAATAAAGTTCATTTAGGCAGTCAATGGGTGCATTCTTTCTTTCTTGATACATTGATTTAAAACCTCCCCCACACGTTTTCTAATGGAATTACCCAGAATGCTTAGCGCAATCAGCAGCGCTCTACTTGTGCACATGCGCAGTTAATATTTCTTCCACAATGCATTCGTTATCACGAAATTTAAAATGGTGGATCGTTGCGGTCGCACATGTGGATCTTCTTGCTATCCCAAGAGCAACGCAACTAATTCAACGGAGGAACAAAGCAAGGGCACAACTACAAGCCGTCCTCACACCGATTGAAGAGCTAATCACGCAGTACCCCGATGCCAATGACAAAAACGCCGCGTACCGGGAAATACTCGCACGGAAATTAGCTGTCGACAACCGGCTATCAGCGCTAGTCAACGCGGACCAACAAGTCATCGATCATTACGATGAAGACCACGCCGAATTTACCGAGACTGAGTCATATGAAGTCGAAATACTCGCCCGCTTCGCTCTACTTTCGATGTTTGTCGAAGAATTCCAGACTATTCGATTTCAACAACCAGTCATCCAACAAGCACCCCTCGATCACAACATGGCCGCCCTACAACCGGATCAACAAACCCACTACAAGTCAGTTCGTCTTCCGCATTTAGAAATACCCACTTTTCACGGCGATCTACTCACTTGGGCCGAATTCATTGACAATTTCAAAGCCGCTGTCCACAACGACCCTCGTATATCCGATATCCAAAAATTCACGTACCTCAGAAACTACGTAGATGGTGAAGCCAAACGATTGATCAACGGATTTCCAACCACCGCCGAGAACTACAAACTCGCATTCGACCTGTTACACGATAGATATGGTCAACCTCGAGGAATCATCAATGCACATATGAAATCTCTATGGTCCCAACCACCACCGGATTACAATGCAACAAGTTTACGAGAATTTCATGACGCATTAGAAACAACAGTACGAGCTTTGAAATCCCGATGTTGTCAAAACTACCGCTTAATTTTCAACAACTGATACGTTCGAACGGTAACAAGGACTGGACATTAGCCACGCTAAGTAAATGCATGCTTCAAGAAATACGTGTTCTCAACGTCGGACATGAAAACAGTATTCTTAACCCGGACACGTACCCCTCATCAGTCGCCGCGTTCAACATGGTGGCGCAGGCCATTCAAAACAACCGCCATGAAATATCCGCGTTTCACGGTTCAACTCAACACAGCCCTTCAAACCCACCAGCGACGACCGCCAACCATGGATCAATTTCACCGCCTCCCACAACTCAGCACTACAGTAAATCTGCAACTCGATCAGCGAAATCACAATTTATTCCGCGACCCTGCAGCTACTGTAAAAGCCGGCATTCGTCGAACGATTGCCAAACCGTAAGTACACGTGAATCCCGCTTAGACATTGTCAGACGTAATAAACTCTGTTTTAATTGTTTAGGCAAACATGGTGTAAATCAGTGCCGTTCACGCTTCACCTATAGAAAATGTAAAGGTGATCATCATACGTCCATACATCCGGACACTGTCGATTCAATTCAATCTGTCACCTTTGCTGTTGCTCCACCATCTTGTTGTTTCTTGGTGTCCGAAATAAATCTATCGAATGATTCTCTCATTAAAAGGTGTTGTTGTTATCCGTCGATATTATTGTCGGTTATATGAAATGCAATTTTAGTTGATTAAAACAAAAACATTAGATTGAAAGTTTGTTTTTACACCAAAATGTTTTTGGTTTAATTTTTTTTAAAGATAATATCCTATTGTATGACGTTGTTACAAAAATAAAAGTTTTTTTTTGTTTTTCTAAGTAGTGCTATGCTCGTTAATCAGACTATTATTATGCAATGTTACAATAACATAGTGAATAAACTATGCACGGACTTGCGGAGATCCATTAAAAAAACAACCTTGCCCTATCTTTTGGGGGCCCGTTACTGAAAACACAAGATTTTTTTTTTTTGTCTAAGCATTGTTAATGATGAGTGATACGGAGCGATTTTAAATTCAGCGTTTACGATTTTTGTCTGATTTGTTTATTTTAGGTTGCGTCATTTTATGTTATTTTCGACTTTTTCTTGAAACACAATCACTTTGTTTGTATACCTTGCATAGATTTTGTTAGATTTGTTCATTTAGCTCTATTTACATTTATCCACTGTAAGAGTCATTCAATAACCTTTTCAATAATCATGATGGTATCACCAAGCTCTATGGAGACAGTGAAGCTATTGTGACCGTCAGGTCGCTTGTTTTAATAAGGGTTCATTTGATTTTATTTCACGTACTTTCCCCCTAAATGGTCAAAGTTTCTGGCACAACCTATATTCACACTTTACCTTAGAAGGTCTTCTTACTACACTTTAACTCGTACAGATGCTAACTACACATAATGATGACTCCATCTACGCAGCACCATTGGTTTTTCCTAATGACAATATGTCAA